TAGCCGTCTAGCATCCGTATTCACGAGGGCATGCCGACTACCCTACGCCATCGGTCTACATGTATGAACATGTTCACATGTTTGAATTCGCGCCCAATAAAGCTTCCCCTAAGGGACGCGAACTCACAGTGATGTGAAGCGTCAAACTTCAAACACTACTTTTTTAAGGCAGTGCTTTTAGTCAATTACGCCAGACCTCAGACAAGTCTTGAGTCTCGAGATTATTGATTTATTTGAATTTTATTTTAAAAATTAACGGAAAATGTGAGCGCGCGTGAGATTTTAATTGTTGAAAAAACGCGTTTTAGTCCCAAATTGCAAGCGCGTGTAGCTGTGATTGTCGGCCACAATTCCCATTGAGAAAACAAAGTACATAATTTTGAACGTCCCCTCACCTTCTAAGCCTCAGATATATTAAAGGGATTATCTCAAAAGTGTGGCAAACTGTGACAAAGTGAGCCCCATTGTACTGACAGGTTTGGTACTTAACAGTTATGTCTAATATATGCATAATGTCTATCAGATTGTTGGTAAAGTCCACCCCATTGTACCAATGTATCGATCACTGCATTTACGGGTAAACATTTACGCCCTTTCTATTGTACCAACGCCGTGGTTAATGTAAATACGGGTACCGGGTATAACCAATGCCTCGGGCAATGTACCCATGAGTACCAGAGATAACCAACGTCACAGGCAATGTACCTACGGGTGCCGGGTATAACTAACGCCACGTGCAATGTATCTACGGGTACCGGGTATAACCTACGTCACGGGCAATGTACCCAAGCTCTTATAACCAAGTTTAGCACGCAATTAAATATTTAAGTTATATTAAGTTGGTTTAGGTTTACGGTAGGTTAAGTTAGGTTAGGTTAAACATGCATGTAGGGGTGGGCAGCGTAGGGTTGAGGAAACAGGGTCATGTAATTGAATAAAAAGTAATCGTTCAGGACGGGTAGTAGACTAGTTATTTATTAATTATTTGTGTTATATGAAGCAAATTATTAAACCTTCGACCGCCTGTAATCGATCGATGTAATACAGTTAGAGCACAAACTTTGCACTTTATTTTTATAACACATCACACAAACATTTGTAACCAAAATTCAGATGATTCTCAAGGAATCCCATAGATTAACGTTACACATACGTTTAGCATTGTAATAGCCTTAATCATAGACTGTTATATACCATTTATTTTAAATTAAAGCTTAATTAATTTAAAACTTGTGCTTTACATTTTAAATATCAATAATATAATTAATATTTATAATGTTGCTAAAATTATAATCATTATAAGAATTCATTGTTTAATTTAAGTATTAATTAAAAATATAAAATATAGCGAGATTATCTAATATAACATCATTAAATAATAGCATTACTTATAATGATTGAACTAAAATGTATAACATTTTATCATAATTGATAACAAGTGTATTTTGTAAGTACACATGTCTAATGACGAAAATGTAACTTTAAGTACATAGATGTAATAGACAAAACACTCTAATTGTGTTACAGTGCATTCAGAACATGATTGATATACAGCTATTAATGCTATCATATTTTAAATGTTGTTGTATTTATTATATTATTTAATTGTAATATTTACTGATATTGTTCATTATTTTATTGGAATAAAATGTTGAATTTGATTTATTAAAATAAAATATTAATATAAAAATTATGGCATTACAATTCATAAAAATTAATAATTTTTTGGATAAACACCCAATTAATCTAGTGCAAATAGAATTTAATTAATCAAACATTGAAGTATTTTTAACAGATTTTACATTGTGTAAAAATAGTTGTGTTTATATTATCGGATATTAAATAAACGTTTATAATTTATAAATTATAAATTGAAAATACCAAGGTAATACTATGATATAATATTTATCAATTGCCATGACAACTAATTATCACAACTTTTTATGGTAAACCATTTTTGTAATAATGTATTTATTGTCATACATAACTACATGATATTTATTTTGTTTTAAATCATACTTTAAATGATTTATCATATATTTTCTACCTAGTTAAATAATGCCATAATTTACATAAACAATACAATGAGATTTAATACTAAAAAAAATGTGTGTTTCGTATGCGGAGGAGAAAAATCAGTTGGTAATAAATTAATAACATTTTACATGTTGTTTTAATAATAAAATTTTATAATTAAAATATTTTCATTTAATATTTAGGCCGAAATTTTACAGCAATTACTTGCGATTCGTGTAAATCATTTTTCAGGAGAACTGCACTTAAAAATAAGGTAAAATATAAATAAAATATAAGGTAAAAATTAATTTCTATTGTATTTAAATAGCCGTTTAAATGCCGTTTTGAGGGCACATGTAATATAACTCTCGGCTCAAGAAAGTCATGCAAAAAGTGTAGATTTGATAAATGCATTGCCGTTGGGATGAAAAAAGTATTAAACATTTATTTTAACACAAAATCCAAACAATATTTACAAACAAAATGTTTAAAACAATTGTTAGGAATGTTTGAGAGATGAGGAGGAAAATCAATGGCGAAGACAATCGGCTAATGAAAGGAAACTAAGACAACAAATACAGGAAGAGATGATTGTCTCAACAACTAGTTTACCACATGTTAATCAAAATTTTAATCATGATCTTTACATAGACACCGAGGGTCAAATTCCGGATATTTTAAACCAATATAATAATGATCTTAACCCACAGTTAAGCCATAGCGATAACATAGACGATAATTTAATGTTATATCCTATGGTATCCACATTTAATGAGGATTGCAATGAAACTAATATTATAAACAATCCAATCAATGATAATACGGTTGCCATCAATAATGTACCAGAAATACAAACCTCGTTATCATTAAATCCCATATTTAAATCGCTGACAGATTATCACGGATTAAATCAATTGGAGTCAAACCGTATATCAGAGCTGTTCAACGCGTCCCGTGTTATAGACGCAAGTTATCCGACGCCTAAAAATGTGGTCAATTTAACCGATAGTAAAGTTTTGCTCCGTTTTTCGGGATCCATAGCTGAGGATCACATCAAAAATATTGTCACTTTTCTTAAAGGCATAAATGGTTTTAAGGAAATGTGCGAACATGATCAATTTGCCATCACCAAGTCAGTTAGCTTTAATTTGATGTTGGTCAGATTCTGGTCCCAGTTTGATAGCTTATCAAATAGTTATATCATGCCTTTGGTAATGCTCTCTCTCTCTCTCTCTCTCTCTCTCTCTCTCTCTCCAAATAATATTAATTTAAATAAATTAATAATAATTTTAATCTTAATAGAATTTACAAAATGCAATTCGCATTCAATTAGGGCTATGGTCTGAGGGAACCTATAAAAATGTTATGGAAACTAACTTAAAGTCATTTCTCGCCAGATTTGTATCACTGGTACAAAAGGACGTGGTCATTATTGAATTGGTATAATAATTATACAACATAGATTTCAAAGTTATTTATTTTTCATCATTAAATAAATGTATTGATTTATAATTTTATATTTAGTTATCAGTGATTATGCTATTTGACCCACATGTTTTAAATTTAAACCATGGAAACACAATAAAGTACTGTAATTATATTGATATTGTATACATGTTAACTAAATGTTATTATATTAATTCAATAATTATATGTTAGACTCGAACAACAACTGTATATATATTTACTGCAAAGATATCTACTATTAAAGTGTTGGTCGGAATCTGAAGCCCAGACAAGACTACAGAATCTGATGTTATTATTGAGTGAATTTAAAATATTTAGTCAATGTGTGAGAAATAATGTCAAAACACAATCAATACAATACTTTGGGCCACTTTTCAAGGAAATAATATAAGTTTTAATATAAATGACTATAAATTATAATTTAATAAAACATTATAAAAATATTTACAGGTAAATTAACTAGTCTATTTGCTTTATTCAAACATACATTTATACATTGTAGTGTTTTAAGTTACACAAAACTAGAATTTTTTACAACTATTTGTAATCAAATATTTGTAAAACAATAAAAAACATATCAAATAAAATTCAATTAAATAAGGCTTATATGATTGACACGATGGGCACTAATTGTACTTAAAAAGTACTTGTAATTCAAGTAAAAACACTTATAAAAGTTATGAAAATTACTTTCATGAGAGAAAACTTCAAGGTTTTTGCTAAAAAAGATTATTTTGTGAATATTTTATCACAAACCCTACTTTTAAATGATAACCACACATGCAACCTATGTTGAAATTTGTGCAAACTATGTACATATTTAAAAATTGTAAATTTATTTATAAAATTGCAATTAAATTATTTATAAATAGTTAATAAATATTACACATGTACAACTAATACCATCGAGATTAATTATACAATTACTGCACTAAAACAGTTATCTGGCGCATAAAAAGGTGTGAATAAAGCTTATCATTTATTTTTATTATAAATATAATTGTTTAAATATAAAATGAATCTAAACGTGTAGTATTGTATAAACTAAAACTAGTATATTATTTAAATTAACAAATTTGTCACCTAGCTAATTTATTACACACAATGAATGCCAAGCGTATTTGCCAGGTATGCGGCGATACTAAATCAGTTGGTATGTAATTTACATTTATAATAATACAAATAAATTTACATTTCATTATGGTGTAAACTATAATTTATAAACTAGGTAGAAATTACGGCTCAATCACATGCAAATCATGTCGAGTGTTTTTCTGGCGCGCCATCACAAACAATAAGGTAAATATTAAAATTAATATACATTTAATAACACAATAATTATTATTTAATTTATAATGTGATTAACAGGTATTAAAGTGTCCGTCAAAAGGCACGTGTAGTATAGATAAGGCGTTTCGTAGCATTTGTCCCAATTGTCGGCTAAACAAATGTTTTACCGTCGGAATGAAAAGAGTATTAAACTATTAATTTTACGCATATTTTAATTACAATATAAACTAATAATTACAGGAATATATCAAAAGTAAAGAGCAAAATGAGACCAATAATTGTCAAATGAATGCCACAATCAATAGGAAAGGTGTCGATTGCACTGATATTATAGCGTTTAAAAACAATGATAACAACAATAATTACGATAAAATTGAAGACTTAATTAGAGAAACACTGAATATTAGTACCGATGGACTCGTGGAGAAAATGACTGCAATTGAAAACTGTTTACAAACCAATCGTATGGACACAAATAATGAGCTAATATCAATAAACAACATATACCGTGGTAAAAACAAGTGCCACGACTCGACCCTAATGCCCATAATCCCTGTCCTAACCGATCACAAGGGCTGGAATCAAATGGAGACCATAAAGCTGTCGGAACTGTTGACTTCGTCCCATGTGTTCAGTTATCCGATGGCCGACACCAGACATATCATCAGAGATAAGGTTAAATTTATTCGTGTATTGTTTTAATACACGGAGAATAGTATATCGGATGTAGTCAAATTCACCAGGGGCCTTAATGGTTTTACAAACATCTTGGCCGCCGATCAATACACCTTGATTAAGCATGGTTGTTTTGAGCTGTTGACCCTGCGCTATCTTGTTTATTACGATCACCGTAATGATTGTTTTAACTTTCAATATGTAAGCGTGTGTTTAATTGTTATCATGTTTAAAATGTTTTTATATCTTGTTGAACTAAATTAATTTGTTTTAAACTAGATCAACCAAACACCTCGAATACTTGAGCCAAGAAACAAGGAGCCGTGTGGTTCCGCTTTCCACTTAACCGAGTCAGTAAAGAAACTATGAACGTAATTGCTTTTACCACTTATGCTACACATTTTATGTCTCTTCACAGATTCAAACTAGACAGGGTCTTTATTCCCAGTTGATTTTGCCGAGAGTTGAGCTGTGATGATCAATTAATCAATAATCATATATGCTAATGTGATAATAAAGTATTTGCTTATTTATTCAGGCACTGCAGTGCAAAAATACAACAAACGGACTGCGACCACAAATGGCAATCTCATTTCTTCCACGTATAAGATAAAAATGGTATTTTTAATCCAAAGCCGTCATCTCCCGAAGAAAAGCCAAAGCCCAAAAGCGACGCTTGAATGTTTCGCTCATCTGCTTTAATTCCAGTGTCAACATTTAAACCAAAGCCATATTTTGAGTCTTTTGTTTCGAACTCAGCCCAAGTTACTTTGCCTTCAACACCCACATCAACGCCTTTTTCGGTAATGCCAAAGTTGGCGCCTGCTTTTCCATAAGTTAAACTTTTATCTTTATCTGAAATCTGAAAAAGGGCTCCTCGTGCGCCAACCTCTACGCCTTCTACGCCGACGTACACATTAGCGTCCAGGTCTAGCACATGAGCGTTCTGAATGTCCAGTAGGGAGCCTTGCATTTCGGTGCCAATGCTATTTTCGTCACAGTGAAAGTTCTCCACCGCAGATGCGCCCAGTTCCGAGCCAGCAATAGCGCCAACCACACTGCCAGTGATAGCACCTGCAACTGCGCCCACTGGGCCACCGGGGGCGCCAACCGCTGCGCCTACCTGGGCACCAGCGTAGCCCAACGTCGCTGCCCCACACCACTCTCCACCAATACATAGGCTTGTGAGGATGGTCTTCTTTCCCGGGTTGCGCTTGCAATCTCGCGCATCGTCCAAGAGGCCTTCGGCAAATATAAGTGCATTCTCCGTGTCTCGTTTGTTGCCGCCCTTCTTCAAATCCTCCTTTAGAGTGTCGACAATGTTTTCTAAAGCTGCAATTTCGCTATCAATGTCTATTTCGTCATAAATGGCCTTGCCGATTCGAACACCAGTGGTGATAATAGACACAACGAGCAATGTCCTTCCGGTCCACTAAAGATGTATGATAGTTGCATTTTGTGTATTAGTGTTTCAATTATATTGTATATCCAATATATCTGTTTAAGAATGCTCACCTTTAAGCCCGTTTGAATGTTTTCAGCTGCGTTGATCGTGCTCGCCGAGAGCTCTTTGTGGTAGTTGGCCTTGTTGGATACGCCTTTTGGATCTATGACAAGTCGATGATAGTCAGATTTTGTTCCAGGGCTTGGATTGTTGAAACGTATCACGTTTGCACCTGCAATAACATTTGCATTAGTAACCAATAATGTGTGGCGACTGCTGATGGCACATACCAACGGGTTTGCCATTTTTTCCCATACGCCCCAAATTCATGTCTCGAACGCCAGCTTTTGTTACATTATTTATTGTACTCTTAGGTAATAGCGTAAATCGCATTTGCATTGCCTTGGACGCTTGTAGCGTTTTGGCTAAGTTGTCAAAGCTCTTGATCAGTCGGTTGTGCTTCTCACGGGGAGTCTCTTTATTTCGATGCATCTTGAATTCTAAATGTCCAGAAGCGGATGCGGTCCAAATGAGTTTTGATTTTTTTATATGAGCGAAGTCCCAACTTGCACTTACAAGCGAGCTGGCATATTTCAATTTGAGCAAAGCTGAGGTGCGATGAGCAACACTGAAAACAGTAATAAGTTGCTAGCGGAAATCGAATTTGAAAGGCGCCTCTGTTTAGGACTTATCGCGCGAGTTATCGCAAAAAAATGTCAGTGTTGATGTCTGTGATTTAGTAGTAGTGGTGGTGGTATAGCAATGTATGCCAGCCAACAATTGAAGGCAAACACAAGATAGGCAAACGGCGGCGCCGTATTGGTAGTGGTAATGCGCATTGAGTGGCGCCAGTCACCCTCAACCTTGCTAAATTAAACACGAAATAAGTTGTGCATAGTGCAATAGCGAAAATCCGAGATTTGGTTTATCAATAAAAAGAAAAAAGGGCGTAGCTTCATTCACACTGTTACTGTGCAATAGATATGCCACTGTCGTCGAAGCATCGTTGCGACATTAGAATTGAAACAACATTGAATGATAGTTGCATCTTTCTCTTCTCCCATTCACTGTGTCCTCTTCTCTACTCACTTCCTCTTGTCCAATATTTGACAACATAACAATCCAGTGAGTAGTGAGTCAGTCAGTCGTTATTATATGTCTCGCTCATTATAGGGTCGTTATTAACAACGTAGCAACAACTGCACCTCAATGAAAAAATCAATGACAGAATCAGCTTACAAAAACTCCTTGCTGTTGGATGGTTACGACAATGTCGAGCTGAGACCGGGTCTCTACTGCCTTGGCGTACTTGGCGACCGTTTGCAAACTGGCAATACAAACAACGAATGGCGGCGACTGGGCGAGGCTTTAGCCCAGCGCCTTGAGCGCCATCACCAGAGTGCAGTGCTTGTGTCCACTTACAGCCTCAAACACTACCTGTTGGGCGAACTGTGCGCCACAGACCGAGCAAACATTGACAACGCTGCGAGCTTTGAGCACGAGGGCCTACGCTACTTCGTAACATGCCTAGAACGCACTGCACTCAAAAGAACACTGCCCGACATTGTCGAAAGTGAAGAATTTGTTTTTGGCTTGAATGTTTGGCTGTGCTTCTTTGGTTCAAATGCCGAAATCCCTTCAAATGTTGCCAAAACACTTTGTCCCTTATTAGCTGAGGACACGCCCTTTGTGCGTGAAATGAAGCTCGTCATTTCCAAATTGAATGTGCTTGACAAAATTGAACTCTCTCTAGAATTGATTGCAGCCATTTCGGACGGCTGCGAACTGTTATGGTTTAATCCGCATCAGATATGAGTTGAGTGCTTGCAAACCAAACTGTAACACAAAATGTTAATAAAAAATTGCGTAAAAATCTTTAACATTATTTAAATAAATCACTAATTTTGTCAATCATTTCATCTCTCGTATCATTTCAATCATATCTACAAAATTGCTTCGACAAAGACTGGCCGTAAGTTTAGTAACTGTTCCCGACAAGAGTTTTCCCAATTGTTGGGATTCATGTGCCGTGAAGTATCTCATCACAGCTTCACTTAAATCACAATTTCTAACCATTTGATTGATTCAAACGCTTCGAGAATATAATATAATGTCTGGTAATTGCCATCGAAGTGACCGATTCCTAAGTACTCAATGTTTGGTAACTTCTTTGACAACCAAATGATTCGCTCTTTGTTTCGCATAAAACATAACTTTCCATTTATCTTAAGATATCGTTTGGGAAATGTATAGCCGTTATGAATGACATCAATTTTTGCTTAAATTTAACGATTTCACACCAATTGTCGTTAAATGATAGTGTCTTTTGCTGTCGGAACCAATAGTCGGCGCAAAACTGGAACTGTTTTGAGACTCTCTCCAAACCAATCAACTCATGGATCTCGAGGTATGAGAAGAACTTTATCACCAATTTTTCAATTGCAAAGATTTTCTCAACACTAATAACACTTTCTCATCATTTTCGTCACTCATTTTGATTTATATCAATAGTCGTGAAATACTTAATGTCTAAATATATTCAAATAATTATATTTTAATTGATATAACATTTTAAAAATTATCAAAATATTTCTCATACAATAAGAAAATTATTATAAAGTAATTATTTATAAACAGAAATATATTAACATTTATTTTATATGAATAGTCATTATATAAAAATCAGCAAAATTTTGCAAATAAAAAATTTATAATGCTATTTTACTTACGACAACAATTATACTCACATTTGGTTTGACAATTAATTGAACAAGGTCACAATTGAATTAAAATTACATATGCTTTGACCTACAATAATAAATGACAGATTTATATAAACATTCAATAATAAACTAAATACTAGATTATACAGTTGACATTCGGTTTTGACATTTTTTCGGTGCTGTTAAAAATATGTGTCAAAATCGAATTCTGTTAAAATCGAATTCTGTTAAAATCGAATATAATAAAAACATGCATTAAATTAATTGTTTCAATAAAAAACAGCATTTATTTGATATTTTTCACTAAATTGGCACCCAATTTCATTAGAATTCACTTTTATGTAAATGAATTTAATAATTTTGTATTTAGTTTCAAGTAAGAAAGACTTTCTACGTTTTTTAATTGACATTTTTCATGATAAATGTGTCAAAACATAAAACAATCAACAAAACATGTCATTAAAATTTCTTTACAGTTATTGACATGCAATATGTTAAAATCGAACCATAGAGTTATGATATACTGCCAATGAAAATTCACTGTTAAAACCGAATTCTGTTAAAATCGAATTTGTCAAAATCGAGGTGTTTAACATTACAGTGTGCATAGGGCTCGCCGGTGCTAACAAAATGTTATGTTAAAACCGAATTTTGTTAAAATCGCGCCTGTCAAACCCGAATGTCAACTGTATACGCGAATATGTAATACAATATTAATCAATCTCTGCCATCGCTAACACTTGGCATAGCGTTGTTTTGCGCAGTGTTTGAGTACTTAAATGTCATAAAGTTGTTATATAAACAATATGTTATAGATTTATTAAGCATTTACATTTAACTAACTAACTACATCTATTAGTTTATATTTGAATCTACTTGTAAGCATAATTATAACATCTAACATATTTATATCAATATCCTAAAACTGGTTTTCAGTTATATCTAGGTAAAAAATAAAATAATGCTCAAAAATGTTACCTGAACTTTAACCCATATTTTTGTAAGTAAAACACATGCTTATAAAACAAAGCTCTTTGTTATACAAAGCTACTATATATTG